TATATATATATATATATATATGTACAAATATTGTTATTTAAACTCTTCCTTTTTCTCTGAGGTATCTGGATTGCACATATCTTTATCTATATATGCATATATATATATATATACATATACATATACATATATATATATGTATATAAACAAATATAAATATATATAAATATATATATATATATATATATATATATAAATATATATACAAATATAGTAGCTTAATATCTGCCTTTCTTTCTGAGGTATCTGGATTGTGTCTCCCCCAGTGAAGGGGGGGGATCCGCATCAAACCAATCATATACAAAATAATTATTTTTATTTTTATTTTTATTTTTTTCTGTTTTTATTTCTTTTTCTATTTCTTCTTCTTCTTCTTCTTCTTGTATATCACCAAAAATACAATCGTCGCCAAATAAGGGGCCAAAGAAATCAAAAAAAGGATATGAAGATGGCTCAGACCCTGAAAAAAAAAAAAAAAAATAAAAATAAAAATAAAATAAAAATAAAAAATAAATTAGATTAAATTAAATTAAAATATATTAAAATAAATTAAAATAAATTAAAATAAATACAGAAAAAAAAACAGAAAAAAAATAAATAAATTGCGTTTTCTTCTATATTATAATTTCAGGTGTACATACACCTCAGCACTTACTGCTTGTTTGCCTCGAGAAAGCAATCGTGGGGGATTCATATTCATTAAAATTAAAAAAAGAAGAATCCTGTGTATCTTCTTGTTTCACTCCCGCCTGCCGCACAACACCTGCTTCTGCTGCTGCTGTTTTTTTCCCTGCTGCTGCTGCTCCTGCTGCTGCTGCTGCTGCTGCAGCAGGAGCAGCAGCTTCATACTCATACTGTATATATTCAACAACTGGCTGAGCCCGCACTGATTGCTGCGATGTGTTGACGGGGACCTCTCGCCCAAAGGGTAGCACCTCATCGCTGCTGCTGCTGCTGCTGCTGCTGCTGCTGCTGCTGCTGCTGTTGCTGATCATGTTGATGCTGCTGCTGATGCTGCTGCTGGCGATGCTGCTGCTGCTTACATTGGGGAGATGCACAGCTAGCGTCAAACCCCATACAACGTGAGGCAGCACGCGGCCCGTAGATAGAAACCTCATCTTCTCTGCAGCTCTCGAGCAGCAGCAGCAGCAGCAGCAGCAGCAGCGGTAGCAGCAGCAGAGCTATGCTCGATACACTGCAGCACAAATAGACAAACAAGCTAACAAAGTAGTAACATAAACAAACAAAAGACAGAAGAACGGAGAGGAAAACAAAATAAATAAAAAATAAAAAAAATACAGAAAAAAAACACAAAGAAGACAGAGAAACAAACACAGCAGTAACAAAAGATGCCTTTGCTTGTTCATGTATGGGGAGCAGCAGCAGCGCGTTGTTTATCTTTTGCTGCTGCAGCTGCAGCTGCAGCTGCAGCAACACTAAAGCGATATATATGAAGAGCAGTTGAGGGTGCGGGCAGCAGAGAGCGTAGCTGGATGCAGTCGACTGCTGGGGTGTATATACACCCGGGAAAAGGCTCACAGCTGGGGAGACGAAGGAGCTGAGTTGCAATAGAGAAAAAAAGGAGAAATACAAAAAAGGAAACAGAGCCACCGCCGTCAGCTGGGCTCCGTATGGCGATGATACTGAAAGAAGGAGACAAGAAAAGTGAAAAGGAAGAATAAAAAAAAGAAGAAGAATTGAATTTATAAAGCAACAGAGTCAAAAAGAAGACACAAACCACCAGCCAGCTGACCAATGGCGGTGCCGATGAGTATAGAAGAGAGGCGAGGGAGGGCCCCAGGGGGATGAACAGCACTTGAAAGGAAGCAAATGGAAAATAAACAACAAAAAGCAGAAAAAAAACAAAAAAAAAGGAAGATCAAGAAGTAAACATTATCTACAAAGTTTCTGACCAGCAGCCGACCGCTAGCTGCGGCAGCCGCGCCTAAGATCAGCAGCAAAAAAGCTCATTTGCGGCTTATTTTTTCGGGAAAGCGGATATAAATCTCGTTTTAATTGATTTTAAATGTTTAAAAGCAACTAATTAAGCCCTGAAACGCTCAAAACGATACCCATAAACCCCTAGATCACTGCACTGGCGAGCTGCCTATACACCCCAGCCCCAGCAGCCGTTCAGAGCCGCCAGCAGTACAGGGCTGTGGGGAGGGCTGTAGCTGGGGTGTATAGGCAGCTCAAGGGGAATTAAATTAGGTTTTCTTCTTCTTTCTAATTCATTTCTTCTTTTCTTCCTCGTATACATCTCCATACGCAGAAGAAGTAAGTTCACTCTTCACCTGCCCCCCACCGTTTTCCCTCCTGCGGTGTACATGCATACACCTGAACCCTTCGCGGCGCTTTTTTCTGAATTTCGCGTATTAATTAAGCTTATTTTATTATTTATAGTATTCAAGGAGTGTATATCTGCTGATATTTCTTCCTGCCTCCATCCGCAGCAGCAGCGGGGCCCGGGGGCCCCAGTGTTTGTACAGACGGAATTAGATCCTTCTTTCTGCTTATTTATTTCTTCGTTATTCCAAATATATAAATATATATGAATGTATATTTCGGCATAAATATATTTATTTATATTTTCATGGTTTGTTCGTGTTCTTTTGACAGTAGGGGCCCGCTGAGCCGGTTGTTCCTTCTGTCTCTCTGTATTCTTACTGTAGTTTTTTTCTCTTTTTTCTGTTTTGCTTCTGTTTCTCCTTTTTGTATTTTGTTTGAATGCAATATTTTTTATATCTATTTAAGTATACAGACAAACAAACAGGCCGATGCATGCATACATGCATTGATGTTTCCTTTTGTTTTCTTTTCCCTTCTTATCCTCCTTCCTCCTCCCTTTATTCTAATTCTTCTTTTTTTTTTTTTTTATGTTTAGGCTTTCATTTCAGTTGCACGTTGCGGTTGTTTCTTTTTGTTTATATTGTGTTGTTTATCTTATATTCCTTCTTGTGTGTACAGTGTATTTATATTGTTTTTCTTTTATTTTTTGTATATATATGTTGTTTTGTTTTGTTATTTCTTTTGCTCTGCTTGTATTGCATTAAGCAGATGGAATTTTGCGTTTCTTTCTGCATGCATATGATTTCTTTTTTTTCTTTTTTTGTGTGAAACTTGTTGTTTTTTTCTCCTTTTTTTATGAGTATGTGTTATTATATTTTATTAATTATTTCTTTTTATTTTATTTTGTTTTTTATTTTTCTTAGAATGCAGAACGAAGAAGGAAGAGTCGTTGATTTGTATGTACCGAGAAAGTGCTCGGCCACCTCCCGCCTCATCCCGGCGAAGGAGCACGGGGCTGTGCAGATCAACGTCGGCATGGTAACTTAATATATAAAATAAATTAAAATAAAATAAAATAAAATAAAATAAATTAAAATATATTAAATTAATTAAATTAATTCATTTAATTTGATCCATTTGTTTTGTTTTATTTTGTTTATGGGTTTCGATATGATCTGTATATGAATATTATGTATTTATATTTGTTTATTTCTTCTTTTTCTTTTTTTTTTTATTTTTTATTTTATTTTTGCATTTGTTTCTTTTGTTTGTCTATATTGTGTCATATCTACAACTATTTCGTCGTAGTTCTGTTTCAGTTTCTTCTCCCCCCCATGTTTCTATATTCTGTTTGCATGTATTCCCTTTTTAATGTTTTATTTATTTATTTATTTATTTATTTGTTTATTTATTTATTTTTTATTTTTATTTTTTTTTAGGTTGATGAAAGCGGCAGATACACCGGGGAATATGTTACAGTTGCACTGAGCGGTGCGGTTCGCCAGCGGGGTGAGGCGGATGCGTGTATGAACAGGCTGATGCACGAGAAGAAGATATTGACGTTTTCCAAGTGAAAATAAATAAAATAAAAAAATAAATAAATTAAATTAATAAATTAAAACTATTA